CAGTCATTCATGCGTTGAAAGTCAAGGCAATCCTAAAATCGAAGCATGAAATTATCCTCAACCTCTCGGCTAAACTTTTATGTCCAATAATTTCTCTGAGTGACGTAAGGACTGAAAATTGGTGTGCACGTTTCAATCGTAACCATAATGACATCAATCGTTGATTCCGCTGCCGTTAATATAACAGCATTCTTCAAATTTCATGAGATTTTCATTCTCAAATCAATAAATATTTGGTCTCAATGATTATTACATCACGATTTCATATCACGGTTTCCTGGTTACAAATAATTAGATGTTGAGTTCTGCAACGTCACAGCGCCGGACCGTAGATATGATACAAGCTCGTGCATACGAGCAATTTTTTTAAAGGATTGAGTTCTGTTCGGACGAGATTCCGCAACAACCAGGGAGGTGGAGTTCAAACGTTGCGATGCACAACCGGTTTCTGGATGAAAAAGCTGCCGTCAGTGACGTAAGAGTGATCTGTAAAAGCCAAATGCAGGCTGAGGCTCCAATAGCCTCGGGTCCAAAGGGTCTAAGTGCCTTTTAGAAAGGTGTTTCAAACGCGCGCTCAGGCCTTGACTGAGTGTTATTAGCTTTCTAGGGGCTACTTACTTTTGTTAAAATTCTTATCATGTTTTTTTTCGTAGGATGCAAGACTATGTACATTATACATGCTATCTGATTAATGCTCTATTAAATTTCATTAACTTTAAATTTCCAGTCTTTTTACATCATCAAACATTTCCCATTAATGTAAAATGTTTGGTGGTCGCTGCTAATTGTATTCAAAATCTCGCCAATTAACATGACTGCTCCTGAAAAATAGTAAAGTTCACTCAGGACAAATTTCTGGCTGAACAATTATCCATTTCGATGATTTCACTCACTAATTACGCAGGCTTATTAATCAATGCCTCAACTTGAGAGAACACATCAACTAACACTTCAAGTGATATTTCTGATATTCTTGTATCACTACTTTAGCTCACAATTATCGCTAACTATCCTGTTCAGGTTCAATCAGTAGTTTTGAAATGACCCCGGCTGTTCTACATGATTCAGAAGTCCTCGAGTTGACCTGAAAAGCTTTGCGATACGCAAGAGTCATATGCTACGTAAAAAAGAATCAGCCTCAAATAAAAATAAGAATAAAAATAAAATTCATTTTGTCGAACAAAATGTCCAAACGTTCATGCTCAAAAATTTATTCATGTGTAAAAGTTACTAGCGTCAAGCAGTGCTTCCCTCTAAATGCTGCAACAAGTCGACGTTTGTTTGTACAACATCGTATTAGTATTAAAGTAGAAGTCATCGTGTATTACTTTCCTAAACAGGCGTTACCAAGTCGACGGTCTGCTGATGTTTAATCGTGTCAGCATTAAGGTAGAGAAGTAATGCATCGTGCATTACTTCTCTATACATGCGTTACCAAGTCGACGGTTTGCTGATGCATAATCGTGTCAGTATTAAAGTAGAAGGCGTCGTGCATTACTACTCTATTCAATCGTTACCAAGTCGAGCTTTACTGATGCATAATTGTGTCAGCATTAAAGTAGAGAAGCAATGCGTCGTGCATTACTTCTCTAAACATACTGCAAGTGAAAGGCTTCCTGAGTGCGCGGAATTCCCGCACCACAGCGCCGTGTTACGGGGGTCAGCATGGCTGCAGTGAGCTCATCTGGGACGAGGCGTGGTCGGTCCGTGACTCACTGCAGCGCATGCCGCGGGCCACGCAGCAATTCACGTCTTGCATTTCACTCTTTAAAGCGTGTCACGTCGCCAGCGTCTATGGACCTTTGAAGTGAAAGAAGCCCATGCGGTGTTAAAAGGAATGCTTTCTTTTGTCCTGAGAGGTGTGCATATTCTTCGTTTACGTTCCAGCAAAATTCATTTCAACGTGTAGCTTTAATCTTCATTTGGACTTGTTACTAGCCGACAGTTGAAGGTAAATAGTCCCATTGTAGGCGATTTGATTTTTAATTTGAAGAATGATAACCTTATTTTATTTAACACAGAAGTTCTAAGAAGCATTATATTTGTTTTCTGTTAGTGAGAGGAGCAACAAACATGAAATTACACGCAGCGGTCAGTGATGGCAATGGACCAATGAGCTTCCATTTCACGGACGAAGCGGAAAAATGGGGTAAACTTTCCCATTATATTTATGCGTTTATTTATTCTCAGACAGGAACTCGCCATGAACAACTAATCATCGATAGAGAGCAAAATATAGGCCATGAAATTCATCCGTTGTTATAGTTGACCAACAACGTTAACAAAACTGAATGATAATTAAGTCCATTTTGCAAGAGTATGCAGGAATGTATTCACACATATTCAGAAGCTTAGCTTTCAGTCCATTTCGATTTCCGATTTCTTTTATTTGAATTCTCACCTATCCATAGTAGTACGATCGCGAAACAATTATGCTTATTTTTTTTATTTTTGCCTCAAAATTCGTGAATTTGGGAATAATGAAAATTCATAAATTTATTGACATTTTATTACATATTTTTACAAAGAAACCTTAAAACTGACCATGCAATATAGAACGATGTTATTTTGTTATGCGTGCTGGAACGCAGCTCGTATGATGTACGTGAAGCTCCAGCGTGTAGAACATTGGTTAATCGATTCGAGTTGTTTATTTTTACTATTGAAGTTACTTAAGCATAGATTAAATTGTACGTTAAAAACTGAAAAATGGAACAAACTTAGAATGGACACCCCAAGTTCCGAAATGAATCACCATCCAATCATATCAAGTCGCATTTAATAGTAGAGTCCTTAAGATTAACTACGCCTAACAACAAAATTTCAATTTTTAGCGTGAAAAAGCAAAAATTTTGTTGTTTTTTTCTGGGAAAAATCATGTTTTCAGAAAATAATCATTCAGTACTATTAATAATGCTGATTCTAGTATGTTCGGGGGTCATCGACGTTGAAATGCTATCTATGTTTAAGAAAATCTAGACACCGAACACAATTATAGCCATGAGAGGATAACTGACATTTCTCGAGTGTGACCACATCGAGTGTGACCACTAAGAAATTTAGAGACATTTCTCCGCCTAAACATATATTGAAACCTATTTTCACCTTTAAAGAAACTCTGAATCTGATGAGTATATATATAATATTTTAGGCATGAAACCCGCTAAATGGAGCACTACAAATTATCTGATCCGCATCAAATTCTAGAAAGTTTACGTCGAAAGGAAAAACGTTCAAATGCTAGTACAATAGGTAATTAAAATAAAAATTTCTCGCAATTACTGAATTCAGGCCGAACATTTTTGTGCCTTTCAATGAAAACCATTCACCCTTCGTACCTTATAGAATTCAATTGTAAGACGGTGTCATATTCGAACTATAATACCCACTTAGAAAGTGAAGCTCAACGGTATTGTTTTTTACATTTCAGTAGCGGTAAAGGGTATAAAAAATCACGAATGTTAAAATTAGATGCGAGTTAATTAAAAACTATAAAGTTGATCAGACGTCTGATCCGTAGCCATCGCCGCGCTGGTTGCTGCGCGTCATGTCCTTCATCTCCTGGCTGCGCGGACTGCAACGCAACACAAGTAAAATGCAATACAAATAAACCTCATATTGATTAATTGTATAGTTCACAAACACAGAGCTAGCAGTTACTTTGTGATTCATATTTTGTTCGCAAATAAAGAACATTCATACCTGATTTATTTAATACCTAATATTCTCGATTCGCCTATTTGCATTTGTTTACTCAAAAAGTTATATATATTTTATATTCTATACACATCATTTATTGACAATATAAGCTAATTACTACAAGGCATCCGCTCTTTCCTTTCCACGCACTTCTGAGTTGTTGAAAGGTTTCACTTCTATTAAGTGATTTATATACACGTCAAAAGCAATGACTCATGGCTGATCGTCGCTATATATTAGCTCTCATCCAAGTCAGTGAACTATGTACACGTCAATAGCAATGACTCACGGCTCGTCGTCGCTGTATTAGCTCTCACTCAAGCCAGTGAACTATGTACACGTCAATAGCAATGACTCACGGCTCGTCGTCGTAGTAGTAGTCCTCTTCCTCTCGCTCGATGCGCTTGTGTGCGATGAAGCAGGCGAGGGCGATGAGCACGGGCACGAGCACGGCCAGCACCGTGCCTGCCGTCACACCAGCTCGCATGGACACGTATTCCTTCTCACCTGGGCACGTAATCAGTCAAACTTAAGGAGAGCGAGAAGTATCTGCACGTAATCAGTCAAACTTAAGGAGAGCAAGAAGAATCTCCACGTAATCAGTCAAACTTAAGGAGAGCGAGAAGAATCTCCACGTAATCAGTCAAACTTACGGAGAGCAAGAAGAATCTCCACATAAATATCTCCTCCAATTGAAAATAAAATTAAACAGTTTACTCAATTATCTAAAACAATAAAAATAAAAAGATTTCTTTCCGGTTATATCACGTTTTCAGGTTGAATATTTGATGAATGCTAGAAGCTTGCGCGTAACCACCGTCTTGCACGAGTTAACCGATTCACATACACTGCCTAAACGCGCCTAAATAATGTAAATATTGGAAATAATTGTAGAAATATTTAGGATTATTATAATTTTTCAAATATATTTGAATTTAGAATTCACTGAGACTATCTTTAACTATTTAATATATATTTCTACAAATTGTCAGAGTTTATTATTTCACCTCATTTACTCAGTGCTAAACTAAATCACCGTGCCCTATACAATGCTAGTCTTGGAGTAATATTCCCGTAATCTTCATGAACATTTGCCATTTCTGTATAAGCGAAAATCACGATTCACGAGACATGTTCAGAATCTTACCCGATGGTTGACGCTGCGACTTATCAGTTTTCAGAAATTGTGTGCACTTATGTTTTTTTTCTCGCATGTGCGTGCAATTATAATTAAAGTAAATTAGGAGATTAATGAGAAATAGTTTTGCTAATCAATGCTTTCTTGGAAATTGATACTTCGATTCTTATAGAATTTATTACTCAAAAATCTAAAATTTAGGAACAGAACATCAATGAAGTAGGTGGAAAATTGTAGATCATGGAGCTATTCTCTCATATAATCGTCACGCCAGATTTATTTCTTGATTGATCTTGTTGTTTTTCATACGTCAAACAACATAGCTTATAATGCTACTTTCATGAAACAGTTATTAAAAATAGCCTCCAGAGCAACAGATATTCTCACACATATCCTCTATTGAACACATATCGTCGAGCGGTTAGTAGTCAAGAGGTTGAATCAAAATCTCATGGTCGGTTTTGTTTTATCCTAATAGTCAATTTAGTTGTATTCACATTTTATTGTTTTCGTAGTTTTCAATCATTATTAGAGAGAATCAAAAGTGCGTACTGTGCGCTAAAAACTAAATCTAATAAAATTAATCATTAATTAAATTACAGTAAATTAAAGAAGCTACGTTTTCGATCGCTATTCTTCGAAAATGTTCTTAATGTTGCAGTCTAAACATAATAATTCACGGGGAAAATATAAGATATCTTTGCAATTTTTTGGCCTCAAATAAGAGATAGACGAAGGATAAATTTCATAAAACTATAGTGAGTTTTTATAAAGCGGTTCATCATTCGTGACAGAATAAATTTTGGCTTTTTAATAGTGAGATCATTGTTAATTCATATCCAAAGGCCTAAATTAATCAGATATATGTCCAAAGACAACGAATTTTTTCTGAACTGCTAGTGCGCTTTCAACTTGTGGCAGCATTACTTCCTTTATAAAACTTCAGGATTGTAATCAAGCTCCAGCAATGAAGCAGAATCATCGATTGGCTTCCATTTGATCAGTAAAAGGATTGGAAGGAAATATGGAGATCTTAAACGACGCTCTCAGCGGTAGAAGAATTTTGGCGAGGTGGGATTTCCCACAAGACGTTCGTGAAGTTGACGGGTTGATTGTTCAGAGGTTCGTTCGTATCATAGTCTCCGTCGAACGACGATGCGGCGACACTGTCATCATCTCTCTCTGCCTCGCTGTCAGACCCATACTCCTGCTGCACCGGGGCGGAGGGAGGCAACCTCGGTCGACCATGAACTAAAGTAGCCGTTTCCAATGGTACTGAAGAGACGTCAGGTGCATCCTGCATCTGAATGGCTGGATAACCTGATGAAGCTTTCGAGCCTGTCGAATTCGAGAAAGATTTCTTGGCCGTAGACGATACCACGGACTGCACTGGGCTCTGGCGTCGAGGAGGGGCGATGTAATTAAACTGATCTTCTTCCTTCTCTTCTAAGTAAGACACACGAAGATGGCATGCGAAGCAAACGATTGCAATCACGACGGGCACGAGAACTGCCAGAACTGTGCCAGCCACGACACCTTGCCGCATGGTTCTGTATTCACGCTCGGCTGCACACAAACCACGAGAGTTGGTCACTGACGATCACCACTGTAACAGCTCAGTTCCCGCCACCAAGTCAACGCGCTCGCCGCAAGCTTGTTACGCAAATATTTTGATACATTTCGAACGATATTACCCTATAGCAAATACCAAATTTAAATCAAACGGCACAATTATTTTACGTGGCACAGTTGTTTGCGTGCCTGAGAAAAATCATTGAATAAGGTTGGTGAGTTGGAGAGAGACGTTGGTGGCAGGACACGAGCCTCACATTTAAATTTATAAATAATAAAATACAACAGGAAAATAATATGCATTTTTCTTGGTAAGAATTAAAAAAATATTCAACTAGAATAACATTTCGTGCAAGCGACCGACGAGCTCACATTTCATAGTTTAAAATTTAGTATAATTTTAAGATCAAAACTCGTATCTATCGTGTACGTTGATAATATATAATGATCAATAATTAGCTAACAATAACTGCTAGCGTTGCTTATGACACGATTTGAAAAATATTTCTGAGATCACGGAAAATAAAATGTCAATAATTTTTAGTTGAGAAATGACTACTTTTCGACTGAACTTACAACACTGCTTGCCCTGCAGCCAAAGTCTCTCTTTTGAACGTCATCGACACAAATATCAGGCAGAGAACAGGTCAAACAATCATAGATAATCACCACGATCAGCCACATGTCACTTACGTTCTCCAAGTGCCCCACAGTTTTCAGACCGAGATTAGCCATATATATGACAGAATAATTTAAAGGGTCCTTTATTATTGGCCCAATTATTACATGAAATATGGACGTCTTTATTTCTTAACAGTGACCATAGAAATTTAGATAAAAGAAAGTCTCCGAACTGGAACGGTTTCGAACCAATTTATTGAGGAATTTAATCGAAGACCGTTTTTAGGTAATAGAAGAAGATACATTAATTTGTCCTCAAAAACTGAAATGCTTCAGGTAAAAATTTTTCTCCGCACAGCTTCTAAATAGAATTAACTCACCGCATTCAAATCGTAGAGAGTTCGCTGTTCTCAGTCTTATAATGCCGATCGTTTAATAAAATCACATCAAGAAGCAATGGTACATTATCAGATGAGTGGCTTGTCGCGTAACTCTTCGACAAGTAATATTGACAAAAATCGTACATGAGGCCATTACAATAAAACTTAAATAAATGTCCTCAAGATCACTGACGAAGGGAAATAGTTCAATACTTACTGACACACGTGGCCTCTCCATCCTCAGGCCAGTTCCAGTCACCCGACGCGTAGCACCAGCGCCTCTGCTCGCCCAGAAGAACGTAGCCAGGGTCGCAGTCGAACTTCACCTCAGCACCGCTCAAGAAGTTGAACGTGGACTTCCTGCCATGCGGAGGAGTGGGCAGAGCTCCACAAGATATCACTGTAGAATAACACGGTTAATTTTTATTGGGATTTAGTTACTGCAAAATTTAAAAAACGCGGAAAGTCATTATCATAAATAAACGTTTGCATACTACATAACAACGTCTAAGATCAATTTTCTTGAACAGCATTCGTGTACATGAGCTTGTCTCTATGTACTGCAGTTCCATTCAAACCAAATTAGTTCAGTTTAGCCTAATATTATCATTACCTGGCAGTAGTCCGTAGTCTTTGATATTGACGAACTGGTCCTGATAGTATTTAGTCATCACAGCAAAGTCGCGCCGAAGAGTCGTCACGAAGTCGAAGTTGCACTGGTAGGAGTCGCCACAAACGCGCTCCACTTCCCGTGGGTCGGTGGTTCTGAAAAATATAACTCAATTAAAATAACTCAATTAAAATTTAGCGCAATTCCGACTATTTTGAAACCAAGTTTTGTAAGAACCGTGCCTCAGAAATTATCAAATTCACGTTATTTTAAAAATCTTTACTTAGGTTAACATGATTTCGAACATTTTGCCTTTTGGAATATCATCCGAAGCTATACTTTTCATCACATGTACGTGATGGTGTGGATATAAATTTTAACATCGGATTTTATAGCCAGTAGGCATAGTTGTATGATGTAAGACCTTCAACCAAAAGTTCAACTTACGAGTTGTCGCTCAGTTTAGGATCCCTGTTGTACTCCGGAACGAAGTCTGCGTCGTAGTAGTAGTTACTAGATCGGGTGAAGTCGTGAGTGAACAAACTTTTACCTTTGTACTCGTCTTCCTTGTCATCCAGCACCCCTGTTTATAAACACCATACAAATCATTTAATAACATTGACATTATTGAAAACGATCTTTCGAAGTGAAATGTCATCACGGAAAGCTTGATTTAATAAATATTCACTTGACGCTAAATAGATGTCATATAAAAAAAGTTCCTATAACTGTTATGGATAATTACCCAATTAAATCTATTACTGATTACTATTCTCACTGTGAATTATTACGGCATCGAAAAATATAAAATGTAATTTATTTGCTCGATACTGACATTCTAGGCCGAACTCCTCGTGTATCGTCTTGAAGTTGTTGGTGTCGTAGTAAGGCCCTTGCGTTCCGTCCGGTAACACGTAGTCGTCCTCGGGGTCAAACGTCCAGTTACCGAACAAGCCTCGCGTTGCGTTCTGGTACGAAAAATAAGATGACATAAATTAATGAATTTACCGAATTATCTTATTTTAAACAGAGAACTAATTTCCTCACACGCTCGAAGTCTTAAAATGTATTGAATCATTAATATTTCAAAAACACTTAAATAATTCAGTTACCTCATCTGAACTTGTTCGCTTCATTGAGACCGACGGCAATAATAAAGCTGTAAACTAAAGCATGTGTTGACTTACAGCAAACGATAAAGGAAGGAAGACTCTCATGCCCAAGAAACCATGATTTTCTTGCACTTCGATGCCGGCACCAGATGAGAACATGATGATCACTTGACTCTGGTTCAGGATGTTGCTCGGAGTGTACACGATGCATTCTGCAACGAAACGATAATTTTCCTTCGTTGTACATCATTTATAGAACATAAATGTTAATGTTTTTGGTCACCTACGGCGGTATATTTTTCTCTATTGGTAAAATGATGCTCCGGGTCGAAAATCTTTGAAATTTTTTATTTTTGAAACATCTTCTCTGCTATCTTAATAAAGTGCGAATTGATTTAATGTGAAATGAATAATGACTCGCTCAATACCTCATTTACAAAGAACGCTCGTTTTTTCAGTCATATTTTTGGACGTTTGAAGTTATTATAAATTATGAATTCAATAAAACTTTAATTTGACATAGTTTAGTGATGCCTCTTGGTCCCATCGCTAAATGTGAAATCCCATGTCCAGGTTATAATATCCTGAAACGACAATTATCGTGGACACGCACTCGAAGAGTCCCAACTTATATTTCCAGTATCAGACTTGAAACAAAGAAACTTAAAAATATTTATAATAGAAAGCATCTCACCTCGGAACTGCTGGATTTTCAGTGAATATTTGTCGAAGTAAACTCTTCGACCATCAACAATCACGTCCAAATGATACCGCCAGATGGCATCCAGCGGCCGCCGTCTCACTTCCACCACAGACGACACGTTGTCCCGGGCCGCGACGGCGGTCAGCATCGTAGCCTTCGCTCCACCGAGGTAGTTCTCGTCGATCTGCTCGAAGCGGCCTTGCACGTCCAGAACATGACGCACCGAGTCCACGCGTGTAAGAACATACTCGCCTTTACCGTTGAAGGTGAACTGAGTGTCGTCAAAAGTGTAGAAGTGCGGGTCGCCAAATACCGTCGCTGTTGGATAATGTGAGATACTTCAGGTAATATTGCGGCTAGAGCAGACACATGAAAACTTATGCCGCACGAGATACAATTCGTTTATTTTTACCATGTGAATAATTTATTAGATTTTTCTCATGTGTTCGGAGAAAAAAAATCGAAATTTTTTTGCCATTTCGCGCCATCAGACACAAGAAGTATTCATATAATTTTTAAATACTATTACAGCCAAAATTACGAGATCGAACATACCGACTGTAGGCACTTGATAGCCGACGCAGTCCTGTGAGGCTCGTCGCTCGAAGCGGTAGGTGGTGCAGCCTGGGCTCTGCTCGCTCTGCCACTTGCAGCAAGTGTAGAACGGGATCACGTCGTAGTACCAGTGAGACAAGCTCGGCACCTTCCCAATAAATGAATGTGAGATTCTTCTTTGCGAACATTAACCAATTAATGTAATTGTTTGCCCTTTCATAGGAAAAAATGAGACAATGAGCCACCTGAGCGCATTAAGAAAGCACAGAAATTCTAATATATCTCGGTCACGTCCTAATGTAAATAATACCGAAGTCTTAACACGTAGACTCCGAAGTGGTACATACGCGTACCACGAAGTGTATTTCTCCAGGACGTAGAGGTACATAATTCGGGGTTGCCAGATGGCCTAAAAAACGGCGAGGTCCGCGAACAGAAAAGGCCAATAACTCAATATATACTTGTATATTAGTAGGTGCCGGTGTAAAAAAATCAATTCCTTTCTAGTTTTTTAAATTTAATTAGGAAGTACCCCTATCATAACTTCTAGCCGGCCAACGAAATTGAAAAAACTAAATCGCGGAATTTGTGTGGAAAAAAGACCGTCTGGCAACACTGTACGAATATTGTACAAAAAATGAAATAATAGTACAAGATGAAGCAATCGGGGTCAACTTGTTGAAGCCAATGGAGTGTTTAACTTAAAAATTAATAATATTTTCCGACGCATTTCAAGTTTATTTTTATTTTCTATGCACAATGGTTGGTGAGAGCATTTAAAAAAAGATCAAATCCGTTTAACTTGCAGTGCTTTACATTGCTGCTTCATAATTGCAAGTTGACGAGCGGAGAATTTTTTGTGTCACTAAAATAATTTTCGTTATATAAAGAGCCGAATAGGTTACAATTGCTAATCCCTTAGCATCACGAGCACATTCAACACCGATTATAAATGCACTATTGTATTAATTGGTAGAAATATTTCCTCTCCGCATGAAGCATTTTTGCAGTCATGCGTTATTGCGAAGACTTTAATTGTTGTAAGGCACCATTTTAAAGGCGATTTGTAGAACAGCCAAATTTGAATTTTTATTGTTATGAGTAATTAAGATAATTGGCTTTTTGATTACCTTGTTGGCCTCGTTGAAGGGCGTCTTGCCCAGGTTGTGTGCCCTGTGCGGGTTGCCCCCCCACATGGTGTCCGCGGTCATCATGAGGTAACCGTCGCGGTCGTAGCAGCACTGCTGCCCCGCGCCATCCTTGCTGCACGCGCCAAAAAATTGTGTTTAACAGAGATGTTCAAGTGAAATTTTTTGTCAGAATAAAAAGATTTGCTAAACATGTTCAATGGGATATCAATGTACCGGGAGAGGCCAAACTGTTCCAAAATCACTGTGAAACTTTTCGGTACCAAATAAATACTTGGTTAGGTAAGCGTTTAACTAGTATTGTGGTAATGGTCGCTCATTATTTCAATGTTAAGGCTCCTGTGCCGCTAGTTGACATAAGTCTGCTTCTTATTCAGTTGTACGAATTGTTTTAGAACCGTCAACTATTTTTCTCATATTTTACGTTAATTTCTGCACTTTTTCAATGAGATAAGAGAGTCAAAAGTTTCAGTTGAAGACGCTCGTCCTGCAACGGATGGACGTCAACTTCGGGGTATCAATGTGATTATTTATTGAATTGATTAATTTTGTACATCATACAAAGAAATGCAAGATAAAATGTTTTAAAATATATTTTAGACAATTCTCCTACTTTGGAAGGGCAGATCGAACGCAGTGGATGGAACCGAAGTGATAGGCGCATTCAGCGTTGCCGAAGTCATCGCAAGAAAAGTCAGGCAAGAATCTCCCTTTGTCTTGGATGGCCTGCTTCAAGAGGCACGGGCATCGTGGAGCCTGAAATTTATAAATCCTTCATTAGAGAAAAATAATCCACTTCAGAGAGTAGATCGTTCACATGATATACAATCGTACTCTGCTGCTGCTTTAGAACGTACTGACCATATGAAAGGGAGCTGTGGATATGTCAGTGTTGCGAATACGAATTAGGACAAAAAGGCATGAATAGCAACACTTTTGGTAACAACAACTCGATGCGTTAAACTCAAGCCTAAAGAAAGACGCGCAATAAGAGGCATGTGTAAAGCAACTTCTAAATCTCATAGTCGATTTAGAAAATAGCAACTGAAGTCAAACCTCAAAAGCAAAGTTCCTGAGGTTCCTGTCGCCCTCGATCCATCTGTCGCACATGGCGATCGGCCAGTTTGTGCCAAAGCTTCGCTCCCACTGACTGTTGAAGTACCACGCCAGAGGAATCGGACGCGACCAAAGTTGACTGTGAACAAAATTGAAATATTTAACGAATTTTTTTTCTGTCGAATTTAACAAATTTAATTTTCAGTGTATGATTTCATAAAAAATAGAGCCTGAGGGACAAGAAACATTGAATTTAATTTTTCTTTACTTACGGTGATTGGTTCAATCCGTATATCGGTTCTATCTGTGTTAGATTTGCCATAAGCAAGCCCATCTCGAAGTCCATGACGCTGGTCAAGTCTAAGTTCTTGAAAGCTGAGGTATCGATGGTCACCGGATCCTTCTCTCGATTATCATTGGATGTTGTCTGTTAGAAAGAGTAGCTATATGAAAAAAATTTATCCGTGGATGAGGTTTTGATTAATTTCTTCCATCGACAATCACTTAGTAAATCAAGCCAAAAAGTAATTTGATTAGGTAAGAACGGTCCACAACAATTTTTTTAGCAATGTTATTTTATGCAATGTGATAAATGGAGCAGTGAACTCTTTTTGAACAGCTCAAATAAGCGTTATAATAACTTAGCACGAACAAAATGGTCAACAGTTGATCATCTGTAAATCCTCACTATAATATCGCCGATGTAGACGATCTCCGGCGTGATGCTTCTCTCTCTATACCCCCAGAGTGAAACTGTGGTCTGTGCTCCATATCGCTGAGTCAAGTTTCCAGAAAGCCATTGTAGTTGAAAGCTTTCTACCTTTTGATTTTCGTACGACTTGTCTGTGAACCAAATGCCTTCAGTGGCAGTCAGTGGCGTTTCTGTAGAGAATAATCGAGCTTAGTCCACCATTTTACTTATGTTGGATACAGAACTAGCGTAGAGTTGCAAGCAGTTGTTGTTATTTTCAAAATACGATTAAAGATGTATTATTATTGATAGAGACTTGTCTCTTATTCTTATATTATTAAGTTGCTAAATTGACAGGTACAACGTGCGAGTAATCTGCTCGGTAAGGTGAAGCAAGGAACACCAAGATTGGAACCGCGAGTAGTGGGTTAGAAGTCGGCAGCTATCAGCAAAAATTCTACATAGATAACTCCATAAAATTTATGAATAGATACAATGGCCATATGGTATACAAAGACACTGCTAATATCGTCAAAGATTAGTAATTATGTTCACTTCTTACCAATGAAAAATCTTCCATTCCAATAAAACGGGCCTCCATTGACCGAGATAGAGAACGAAACGTAGCCCGATACGAAGAGACGAGGTGTGATGCATACGGCCGTGTTTGAGTCCATCACGTGGCCCTCGACGGTGGTCGTGTCGAACTGACACTGCACTCGGTAACTCGTTTCAAAACACGGGCCTGTGATGTTGACAATCGTCCCACCCATCATGTTGGCTTGCTCCGGCGAGAAAGTCAACTGGTATTCCTTTAAGGCTGGAACAAAATGGCATGAATGAATGTTTAGGATCTTACAAAACAAAATGTAAATGATTTAGGATAGAAAAGTTTACTCCAAGCTAAGAAACGAAATATATAATATAAACAGTAGCTCCTTGACTTTAAATCTCTATAAACGATGAAGTTCAATTATAGATGAAAAAGTTTGAGTTTCAACCGTAACCCACTTTCTTCTCGACGACAACTCCCTGGAAGGATGACCTCATCTATACGGAAAATATGGCGGCCAGGAAGGCCGTTTGCGCGCCCGGCGACCGCGAGATCGCGGATGTACAAACTCTGGCTGTAGGGGGTGTACTCGAATGAACGGGTGCCGTTGCCTGCGTTGAAGCCAACCTGAAATTGAGTAATAGCGATTGTTGTTAAAAATATTCTATAGCAACTTGGTTTGATTACCTATAATAAATATGCAAGCACGAATTTGTAGTAATTAACATTAGTGACAGGCTTGTCTAGTAGTCATAATTTTATTAAAAAATCGATCGATTTCGAAAAATTGCAAAACTTTTGACAAATTGCGGTCAGATACATTTGCGTTCTTTTACAGTTTCGAAACTCAATTCGTTTCGCCCGTGTTGTACAATGTTTTAAAATTAATGACGATTTTTTGCACGATTAGAAGTTACGCCTGATCATCATGTCGAATTGCACAGGTACAATTGTACCTGAACTCGGCAGTATGATAAAATAATAAAATTCTGCCGTCTGACACGGGTTAATGAGAACAGGGTTTCGCTTAAGCTTTTCCAGGCTAAAAATCAGTAGCAAATTAGCATAGACCGTTAATTAAGTGGTCGCAAGCTTTCGGTTGCTAAAATGAGACTATGTGATCACAAATAAGATGAGCTGAAGAGAGAAGATTGACATACGTAAGCAGGTGTTCCGCCTTGACCGTCGTCAGCCGAGCCGCCCGCCTCGGTGTGGGACGTCCACGACATCTTCTCGTAGTTGAACACTGCGTAGGTGCGCACCTCGTCTGTCACCACCAGCAGTTGGAAGGTGTTAGTCTGAAACATGGAACTTAGTGATAAAAACATCAAGTTTGTCATCAAAATGCATTATCTGATTTAATAACTCGAAATTATGTAGCTCCTTGAATAACTATAAAAGGCTTTTCTCTAAAAAAATACGATCATATAAAGCTATGATATAGTTTCTACTAGACTGGCGATTACCTCAGCTTAATAAGCACGAAATAAATTCATTTCTATTAATGAAAATACTAATTTCCCAATAAATATTTATTCAGAATATGAGGGCGTCATAGACTTATTATATCAGTGATTGTAGTCAAAATAAGATCTAGATAATTCGATCGATGGTCGACGAAGCAAATAAAACTTTGAGTCCACCAATTATTAGTCAACATCTAAATCATTCAGTTTGAAGATTTCTACAGAGAACTTATTTATTAACATTGAAATGCATTAACGATATATAAGCAACGCCTTTGCTCTTAAAATGCAATATATGAGAATCGCCTTTGCTCCTAAATGGACTCACGACTCTTTTTGCGTTTGAGTTGGCATAACCGCCGCTGAACGTGACATTCTTCCAGGTGACCGTGATGAGGTGCTTCGGGATGAAAATCTCGGCCCCCACCATGCCTGTCCTGATGTCCCACTTGATCCTCTCGAAGATTTCGACGGCCATGCGATCGTTTCTTGTAGGAAGGTCACGTTCCAGTCTGCCAAAATTCAATATAAATTATTAAACAGGCGTCTAATCTAATAGGGCAGGGTGGCCTAGTGGTAACAGTTCCGAGTACCAAGATTGGCGCAGAGAGGTGCGGGTTCGTTCCCAGCTCTGTGCGCCAGTTTGTGGTCAGAATCGGCGAGGAGGCCGGGCGGTTAAGCAAAGCAGAATTGGAGCAGTGAGTTGCGAGTTCAAGTTCGCAACAAGCTGAGAATGTTCTGCGATGTTAAGAATCGGCGACAGGCCTACGGCCTACTAAACGCTGAAACCGCTATTTTTTTTTAATGCAACTTCTAAGAACCCAGAGTGCTCCCTTTGGCAAAAAACTTACATTTTAAATTCAGCTGAATAGTGATCTAAAATGATTAATAACTTCGGTGCATAAAATTTAGATGTCTTGTCTTAAGTTGTTAAAGGTTGAATTATAATTTATTTCCTATTCATTGTTCAGTGATTTTTGGATTGACCGAAAGAATTATTTTATAGGAGTGACGACAATCGAAGTCTTCACGAGTAGAGCGTAAAGCTAAAGCCTTGCTTATCAGTGGCCGAGTTCTCGAGCTCACAGAGATAAGATACGGCCAACGCGTGATAAGAAAAGCTTCAAGGTGGAGCACCACGTAAAATACATACAACGGTCTCATGAGCATCTCTCCATGAAAATACAAGCGTTAATTCAGACATTTGATATAATGTATATATTTTAACCGCAATGGCTATCGTATTCAATTCATTAAAAGCAAAGTATGATGTTCAGTTCAGGGAACCCGGAAAGAATTAATTCATACATTAATTCGCTTGAAGCAATACTCTCCGACTTTTCTTGTCTATTATAAAGTTTTTAGAGAGTTGAAATAGATTACTTTTTTGTGGATCACATCTAGAAATTGCGGAGGTCAAGCTAATAAAAACTGAGACCAATCCAATATATTGTAAATTTTTACATATCGACACATTTGGATAAATAAAATTTACAGAAAATTTTCATATAGGAAGAGTAATTGCGTTCTTGAGGGCTTGCATATTATTCCATCCACTACGCCTCAAGTGAAATACATTTTACAGGAGATTGTGAAGCCACGGTAAGCCCAAAAAGCGTCGTGTCCTTATTCGTCAATATAGGAGCACGTTGATATGATAAGAGGTAGTTAGTCCTAAGTATTGTAGAGAATATGAAGATGAGTCATCAAAGTACGCTTACCTCCAATACACTCCTGGTTGTTGCTGCTCAGGTTCCCCAGATTTTAGTTGTCCAATGAGACACTTGGAATAAAACGGGCCGATGAAAGACGGGTCCGGAATAGTCGGCCATTCGGCGACTGGGAACTTTAGTGGGTAACTACCGTAGCTGAAAGGGGCGTTTGAAAAGCCCAAGTATCCATTGAGAGATACCTGTAATAAACGACAAATATTTTAAGAATATGTAATATATAGTTATTAAGTATATTCAATATCAAAAATATGATTATTGTGTTATATTCAGTAAAATATAACATCGTGAGTCTGAATAAATATATTCTGTAATACTATGCATTTAAAAATTACTTTTTAAAGACAACATTTCTGAAAAATCCAGTGTCTTAGAAGTTGCACATGTACAATGATTTTCTAATTTTATTTTAATTTATTAAAAAAGTTCATTTTCAGAATTTTTTAATATGTAAAAATTTTGCAAATTTTCAAAATTATTTATTCTTTCAACTGATTCATGCATTGTATAAAATTTTACGTAAGTGCGCAAAATTTCAGATCGGTTGGACAGGTAGAAGTGTGTTAAACATCGATTATAAGATTTGTAGCAGACAGACAAACAAACAACAAGAAATGAAGTTAAAGCGAAGTTTTATAAAAACAGTGTCATTCCCTGAAGCCTGTAATGAAGCCTCACCCACGTATAGTTGAGACCAAACCCGAAGAATGGCAGGAGGAAGGTGAGCTGTTTGTTGATCTGTGAGTTATGTGTGTTGATATTTTCCTGCAGGTCTCCTTTGCCGCCTTGATTGTCCATATCGTAGTATGGATACATCAAGCGAGCTCGGATCTCTCGCAGCCGTTCTTGACTGATGGCGTACGGCCTGTCGTCCGAAGTTGACGGCGCAATGCGTGACGTCATAGGGTCTGGGGAGTGATTTCAAGTAAATCAAGAATTCGTAGTGTAAACGTTTGGCGATCCCAACACAAATTAAATATCGTTGTGAAGGTAAGAAGGGGAATTTCAGGTGCACAGAATATTATGTGTTAGCATGTTATAATGAGGCCAGCGAAAATTCAGTTACTCTGGGATGACGTCATGGGATGACGGATGACGTCGGCCAAGCCATAAAAAGAGCCAGCAAGTGGGTGGATGAAACATGTGAGTGTATCCAACCTATCAGAGATGTCAGTATAATAACTGCATTTACTGTGTCAGGATATAGTATACCGTATGTAATTATGTATGTTGGTCGGAAGCATTTAAGTTACATAAAATTAATAACAAATAACAGTATTTTGGTTGTGTAGGAATAATTCCCTCAAACTTAGTCTCGATAAGCAAGCATCGCACTTAATCTGCAAAACAAATTTTGATGCACAAATTTGCATTTATCCGATGAATTGTGTGTGGATTATATGCTATAAAAGAATATAAGTCCAAATCCTGCTTCAAAGTCATCCAAGATATTCTGCAGATCAATCATGAACACCAACATGAAACATAATTGCTTGAAACAAATAGCCTCAAATAGGTCAGTATAGGTTTTACATCGATCGGCAAGCACCAATTGAAGGACTTGAATGCACATTATTGTTTTAGATATCCAAATCCAAGACGAAGCTACGATATTCACGCAAGGTTTTCATCATTCAGGTAATAAAGTACATGCAAACGACGCGTGGTTTTAAAAACTACTGTCAAGACTGTGGCATAAGTCGCAACAGTTATCCACTGGTCGCCCAATACAAATTGTTTTCTCCGAATTTAAAATTAAAAAATTTTTGTTTGTTACTTAAAATTTTTTATTTAAAGTTCTAAATAATATTAATCGTTTTTATTTGAGGACGGCGGCGTACGTACAATGTCAATTCATGTTTGACTGAAAGTCATCACTGAAAGAGCGTTGCGAAGAAAGATCGTTTTTAAATTGGAAAATTTCCATAGATTGGTTTATTTCTTTTGGACTTGAACAAAAGTGAAAACCAATGTAAAAACATTCTATATCAGGATAAATAGAAGATTTTCCATAAACATTTGAGAATAATTAGTTCATCCATATGAGTAGTAATTTGATGCGCTTTAGTAAATTCATCCAAAAATTGTTTGGAAAACCACGATGAGAAAATATTGTAATATATATTGGTACACAGCATCAAACACCAATAGGCATGCAGATTATTCGTCGCAATAATGATGTAAATTTCTGTTTTAAGGTAAAGTTCTAACAAATGTAGACCAAAATTTGCAAACCATATAACATCAAAATTTCATCATAATAGTTTAATTAAATTTTAATTATATTATCGATCTAATTCTTCATTATAACGCAATCATTTGTGTATTTTTTTAATCCTTAATATATGTGTGAAATTATGCTTATATCGATGATACTAAATTCATTAAAAAACGCGAAAATTATGAAACAGAGAGAGGTTTAGTCAAAATATTGACCGTTCACTCAAGATAATGAAGCAGACGGTTTATTCAAACCGAAGAAACATGGCTCATTAAAAATAATGATACAGATGTTTTCACAAAATAAATGTGCGAACAATTTACTCAGCATAATGAAATATACAGTATTGCTCAAAACGAAGAAAAGTTTCATTCAGAATAACTAAACAGACGGTTTACTGTAAAATTCGGTAACTTACTGTTCCCTCATAGTAACGAAATAGGCTATAACTCAAATAATGAATCAGATGGAATACTAATATAATGATATAGATGGTCTGCTGAAAATAATGAAACCACTAATAATTGGAATTAACATCTAAATCAGCGTGTATTAAGGCATGATAATTTCATTGAGTCATGCCGTAAGTATTCAAGTGCGACTCAAGAGTAATGTCACAAAGATAAGCTACGGAACACGCCATATCTTATCACTGATACTGAAACGCAAAACAAGTATCAAGCGACCTAGCACTAAACTGCCAGAGCCGAACACTTTGATATAAAGGTCCAATTACAGCTCTCAAAATTTGAACGAATAATTTAGGAAAATATGTGTCGCTGATTTTTTAGATACTGTTGAACCCACAAAGAAGCCAGTCCGATTTTGTCTGGTTAAATTGTTTATAAAAGCCAAATTGAGTATTACCATTGTGAGTTGTCGAAAGTTCAGGATAACATTAATCTGCCGGCTCACGATAATCTCCCTCATTAGGCACCCAGTTCACCATACTCTCCCTCATAATGCACCCAGCTCACCATACTCTCCCTCATGATGCACCCATCTCACCATACTCTCCCTCATAATGCACCCAGCTCACCATATACTCTCCCTCATATAATGCACCCAGCTTACCATACTCTCCCTCATTATGCACCCAGCTCACCATACTCTCCCTCATAATGCACCCATCTCACCATATTCTCCCTGGGCAGCTTCTCTCTGTTGAGCGTCCACGTAGTTCTGCCGCGACTCCGTAAGCGAGTTGTAGTCTCCCTGATCGTCGGCGGTGACACCGATGCTTACGAGCAGCACCAGGCACACAGCAACCGACCACCAGGGCACGTCACGTAACCGCGTCGTGCCCATCTTGGCCAAATTCAGCTCGCTAGGCGAGACAAGCAGTGTCAGTGTGGTCTTATTTACTTCTCTGGAGTAATAAGCTAGTTTTTAGCTCCTTAAACGAATATTCCATCTGTAGGTGGTTTGAACAACCACTTGATCGTGACGACTGAACAGTGTCACGGTGTGCAGCGCACTAACTGACGTATCTGATACCATTCGTGCCTTAACGGACTTTCAGGGCTGTAAAGATACGATATCTTATCGAAAAGCTAGATACGAACATCCTGGTCCACAGCGTCTCTTCGTGTGAGTCAATAACTTCCTTCGTGTTGGATTTATGAGCAAAGCGCACTTTTTATTATTTTATCATAAGGTAAAGCCTTAGCTGCAATCAGCTCTGACTCATCGATCTTCTGTTGAAATCAGGATTATTCATTCAATTCTTGCAATTAACAAACGCTGAGTGCATTCAGTTTATATATAGACATTCCTTAAGAAAGAAACTTTTAAAAACAAGTTCAGCAAAGGAAAAACAAACTTCCAGGAAGCACATTTTTCAATTAAAGCAACTTAATTACATCCGAATAATGGTTATAGTCACGTGAATGAAGGTTCATTTCGTTGATTGCCACTCAACCAAACCAGGTCCCGTATTGAGACAATGATAATCTATAAGTCAAACAGATGCGTTCAAAATTTGCGTGATAAAATAAGTGCGTTCAAAATTTGATGACGAATATAACCATATCGAGCAATGGCTCAGAATTAATTGTCAAGCATATACGTAATCTCGTAAGTACGAAATATTTCCGAACTTTCCCATGACCACGATTATGATTTCACATCATATACTTTTTCATTTGATATTTTTCTTTAGATATTTGATTAATATTCCTAAAGTCTTATTCAAGTCATTAAGACTTTATTGTGGGGATATTTATCGATAAATGCTAATACCCACATTAAATTCGTTAATAATAACTGAAATCATAAATTCTTGGTGGTTAATGTATTTTTTCAAAAAACTGCACATAACATGCAATCACCCAGAAAATTACATTAAAATTTACTTCGAGCTTACTCGCTAGCTAGCCGCAGCGAATGTTAAAAACCAATATCTCATTTGTTGAGGTTATGGAATAACCATGCACAGAATGACGAGAATTTTTCTTATCGTCTCGTTCCCACACTTCAGAAATTCTGCAGTGAGAAAAAGTTTAGATGCGAGGATTTCTTGTTTCGAAATATATTTTCCAATTTAAAGTTTTCCATATTTATTGAAATATTCAGACGAAACTTGGCTATGATATTATTAAAGTTGCGTTTCCCCACTTCGATCTGCAAAAATCAAAGGAATCTAACGGTGCATGCATGCTCAAGACATTTATTGTAATTCGATTTTTTTTAATTACAAACTTTAATTCAATGTTTTATGTATAATGAAAATCTGTTATAATGTAATTGCATTCAAGTGTAAAACTTTGCCTTCAGGTAATTTTGCGCATTTCACTTATCAGTGAGGTCGCACATTCAGACGAGATCATGAAAGCTTACCGCCTGCCTTCATTGCTGCATATTTTTTGTTGTAGCCATTTCTGCTCCAAATTTAATACCATCGAAGTAGAACATGAATGAAATTACCATAAAAATTTTTCGAATATGTAAATAATACCAAGCTATTCAATACGATGAGTTAAGTACTTAACCTGTACAGCAAACTAAAATAAAAAGTTGATACTTAATTAAACATGAAGCTGCTAACAACTAAGAAACCTTGTTATTTGATATTCTGTTATCACGTAAAAATGAAAATATAGATTTCTAGCGTTGTGGAAGTACATTTAGAATCTCATCAATAAATCAAATCACCAGAAGACACGACTCTTCACCATGTGTATTAGTAACAAAAGGAGAATAAGCCTAAGTTTTTTCTGTTCATTATTATTTGCATCAATGATCTCGCACGGACGGAACCAGGCCGGTTCCGGTGCGGAGACGAGTCGTGAGAAATGGAGTTCAGGCATCGACATGCTGATAAGACTCGACTAAGTCACTTGGGTAGGCCTTAATAGTTAGGGACCGAAAGCTCCTCACCCTAAATTTAAGCGATGCCTGGGATTTGCAGCGTCTCAACCGTAGGTGTGTAGCGGATCTCGCTTCGGAACTACTTCTTTATTTAAGAAAACAGTTTAGAGAGCATTCATGCTAGCGAATCACTGCTTCCGTTTTAACACCATTCATTTCCAGGTCTCTCACAGCTCACTTCTGCCCACTCAGAGCTCACTTCTATTCCAGCAGCTTCTCCATTAGGATCGTGGTAAGCTCGCTATTACTTAATGGAAAAAGTGATTTTAGGATTTTCCTTGTCTTCAGTAGTTCTCAGTATAGTGTAGCCGTGATAGATGAATCTGGAGACAGCGCAAGGTTCTGTGATAGTCAATTTTGTCATGCCAAGCTTACGTGATAACTTGCTTACTTACCAAATTGAATCTTACTTGTGTTCAAAATTAACATAGCTCCTTTTCTCAGCAACATCACGTCAGCTCCTACCAAGCACACATTGCTGCCCCTGTCACAACATCATCACAACAGCACGTGCAACTCCACGTGCATCTCACCACGCCACGTGCATCTCACCACGCCACGTGCATCTTCCCACGCCACGTGCAATTCACCACGCCACGTGAATCTCACCACGCCACGTGCATCTCGTCATCACCACGTGCTCCTGACACCTCGTCATCACCACGTGCTCCTGACACCTCGTCATCACCACGTGCTCCTGACACCTCGTCATCACCACGTGCTCCTGACACCTCGTCATCACCACGTGCTCCTGACACTGGCAATCTTAAATTTGTTGTCATTAACTGACCAATTGCATCAAGCCGCTCTAGTTAATTTTAATATGTTCCTATTGGCATAACTCTTGTTATCCTGGCCTTAAAAACCCCTGAAAAGTAGTCAATTTATTAAATGTGGTCAGGTGCAAGCCCCCACAGGTGTGCCCCATGGTGGGCTTCATCGCTTTTCTCCGAATGGAACGGGTGCGATCGGAAATAAGAGTGGGTCGGAAGGGGGCGCAGCCGCGTAGGCCACAAATTTTACTCTTAAATAAGCCCTGGAGCCAACGCCCAGCTTCACCATGCATTAACTTTACTCAGCCTCAGAACTAGAAGCCGCACATTACACGGGGATAGTACTAGCGGCTAGTAGATCAGAAAATTGCCAGATGTCTGCCGCTTGGTGTCTATCCCGCAAGTAAGCTTAGACACGAGACAAGTTTAAAGTGCCGCCGTGCCGGTATGAGTGGTATCTGGTCATTACCGGCACGGCGGCACCTTAAACTTGTCTCGTGTCTAAGCTTCCTTGCGGGATAGACACCAAGCGGCAGACATTTGGCAATTTTCTGATCTACTAGCCGCTAGTACTATCCCCGTGTACAAGCACCTTGCGCTTGAACTCCGTAATCCAGACAAGCGACACACTGCCGAAAGATAATAGCGCCATAGGTCTTCAGCCAATGCGTAAGCATTCCCGCCCGTAAGCAGGCATTTCCCCATCCGGCCTAACCTCTTCTGGCCTAACCCATTCACGCTGTCCCGACTCACAATCTTCTTGCAGCCAATGACTGGCTCTACCAGCGTACTTGGACCGCCTTTCTAATTTCTTGCAGCCAATGAGGTTAGGTTAGGTCCGCTCTGGTTTGTTTTGGGTGAAGAATGGTTGCAGCACGTATAGGCTAGGCCTGAAGAGGTTAGGTCAGAGGATCGAGGTTTGGCCAGATGCAGTATGGGCATGTTAACCTTTGGCAAGCTTATTTTGTGGCTGTGGACATTTGGCGCTATGGCTTTGAGCACTTGACTTCATAGGCCGTTGTTATTCACTCTAGCGTTCTTACCTAATAGAAAGGAATATGAACTAAGTTTGAAGTTCGGCAAAGCTGGCCTCCGGCATGCGTCCGGGTCGGAAGCGCGCTGGCAAGGAATTGCAAACACGCAAGGTTCTGATTGGCCGACAGAAGGAACATGCCTAACTAACGCTAAGTTAGGCATGCAATGGGTGCGAGTTCAGAGCGCTAGGTAAAAACGAAGAAGACAAAGAAATATTCTGACAACGCTTACAGGAACCTAATGTCAATGAATAGCTCTTTGATAACTAGGTCAAGATTGGCTGTTATTTAAGAAGATTATTCCTGAAAACATGCGTAAACTGAACGTTTAGGGCAGTTATTAAAATCGAAGCTTACAAAAAAATCAGACAACGCATGAAGGAGTGTATTGTGAATTAATATCTTTGTTTTAAGTTAGGTCAAGAAGGGTTTGGATTTGACTAAGTTATGCGCGAGAAACGTGCAACGGAAATTAGTTTCAAAAATTCTTCCCAGAAGTCCGAGCGGTACTGACAAAGGAGGTAAACAGCTCAATTGCGTTGGATTTAATTCCACTGCAGTTGAACAAGATGACACAAAGCTGAAGGGAAACTGAAACAACAACCAAGCGAGCTGGTGATTAAGTTAGGGGACAAGGGTCATGTGCAGGAGTCAAATCGGCAGGCAAGTAGGTAGCAGATGAGCACATGTGTCTGCCTGGGTATAGATGAAGCTCGAAGAAAATAGCTGACATTCTGCCCTTTCCAAGGGCACCATTACCATCTCTGTGCGTTGATTTATGCGTTCACGACAGATCATGAAAGAGAGGGGGATGGTGGAGTTCTTTAACAAATAGTATAGGAGGAAATTCGCTGCGAGAACTTTAAATAGAGTGTCTGCTTGAGGTGCACCTTAGTTACCCGCCTGGCGTCTATGAGGAGGTGTGCATGCAGTCGCTCCCACCATCATTGACTGGAATCAAGCTCCAGTAACGTTTAGTTTTGTATCCTGGCTACATTGAGTGCCTATTGCGATGCGCGCGGGACTTTGTCGCGCTTTACTGAAAAGTTGGTGGCCCAGTGGTTACAGTTCAGCGTACCAGGATTGACGCAGAGAGGCGCAGGTTCGATCCCAGCCCTGTGCGCCAGTTTCTGGTCAGAATCGGCAAGGAGGCCGGGCGGTTAATTGAGCACAGCAGAATTTGAATCAGTGAGTTGTGAGTTCGAGACCGCAACAGGCTGTGGATGTTCTGCGATGTTAAGAATCGGCGACAGGCTTATGGCCTAATAAACGCTGAAACCAATATTATTATTATTGTCACTG